GGTGTTTTGAGTTGTTGCCAGGGCGTTGCTATAAGGTGTTTTGAGTTGTTGCCAGGGCGTTGCTATAAGGTGTTCTGATATCTTGTTAACCAAAACAAAATCAACAAGTCTGACAGTTCATGTATGCAAAATGTGTGTCATGTGTCCAGTTTAATCCTAGAACAAAGTGACCATTTACATAAAAACATGTTTGGAAACCATTTACATTATTCCCTTTGAATTGTCATGGACTTTATAGATATGAAGGTGCAAATAATAATGTTAATAACACTCTTTATGACTTGTGTTTCCTGGTGTAATACTGTACTAGTGTAACAGGAGGAGCTCTGTCAGCACAAGCACAGACCCATAATGCATTTCAGTCTGAATGTGCGTGTGTGTGTGTGTGGATGGACGGCACAGTTCTTGTATTGTCCTCTGTGTGTGTGTGTGTGTGTGTGTGTGTGCGTGTGCGTGGATGGACAGCACAGTTCTTGTATTGTCCTCTGTGTGTGTGTGTGTGTGTTTGTGTTCACTTCTTGCCGCCGCTCCTGTTGTTGAACAGGTTCACTCTGCTCTTGGTGGCGACTGATGTGGATGAGACGCCCGGCTGCTGCAGCACTTTATCCAGCGTCGTCTTCTTGATGGCAGTGGGCGAGATCGTCTCCTGATCGGCCAGAAACTGTAGCTCCCTGTGAGGAGGAACACAGGAGGGGTGAGTGACTAACAACAGGGAAAGAACCGACAAAGGGGCGTCTTTCTACCTTATTTAGCACTAAAAGGTGCATATCATTAAATTAAGAGAACATGTTACTATTCTAAAGTACTAATATGCACACTTTATGTTCACTTTGCATTTCATTTCAAGTTTCTGTGTTTATCGGACCATAGTTTTTAATCAAAGGTCTTTACTAAACCTACCAAAATACACATTATAACTTGACAGAAATATATTACTATTGCACAGAAGAATGTACTTCTCAAATAATAATAATTATTATTATTATTATAAAATAAAACATTTCATAGGGCCCTATTACTGTAAAAAGCGTAATCAGTTATAAAACTGGTAAAGTTTAACAAAATTCAATTGATTTGGCATGCTTTTCGATTGTTAAAATTGAATTAAACCATTCAAATGGATTCCAGAAAAAATAAAATAAAATAAAAAAATAAACAGAATTTGGTAAAAAAAATAAAACCGATTTCAGAGATTTAGAAATTTGATAAACTGTTGTTAAACTGTATACATTTCATATTTTCAACGCATTAGACATGATGCTTTTTTGATTACTAAAAATTTCATTTAACCATTAAAACTGAATCCACAAACATAAGTGGAAAAAACATAATTTGGTAAAAAATAAAATGGATTTCATAAGGCACTAGAAATTTAATTGTTGCTCAAAAATGTAACTAATTGTTGTTAAACTGTGCAAGTTTCATAATTTTAATTAATTAGACATGCTTTTGATTACTAAATAAATTGGTTTAACCATTAATTCAACCAAACTAAATCCAGAAAAATGTAAATGGGGGTAAAAAAAAACAATTTTAAGGCTTTACAGACTGCTGTACCCCTAAAGGTAAATTATTTGCAATTGTTTTCTGACAGTAAACAGCATGAAAGTAATTGAACACTTTTTAAAATTGAAAAACTAATGAACAAACATGCATAATCCATAAGGCCATCAGCTGTTGTTCAGCATTAACTTATTAGGTTTACATTGAAATTTTATGAATGCTTACTTTTTTATAATCTGTCACTAAATGTTTGTATCTCGGGGATACGTCGCCCTTTTAGGGGAACAAATCAAGATATAAAACATACATATATAGACCCTGAGATTTTCTGGCTTGTGTTCTAGAAAATCAAATCTTTTTGTAATCCTGACTAAATGCATACCGTTGGAAAAGTCTGACAGTAAAGTTTCCATATTTGGTAACCGTTTTGTAATAGAAGGGATATTGTGACAGAAACTGATTGATTTGAGACAGAAAACCGCATCAGAATGATTCACTAGAGTTTGGGTGTAACCCAGAGGCTATTTTTGGTATAGCGCCCAAACAAAATCTCACAGGAACCACAATTTTTGAGATATCAACTTCAAATTTGGAACATAACTTGGTTAGGCATGTGACTTTATAGCAATTTTAGAGTGCAACATTTATATAAAATAAAAACTACATTATCTTTAGTGTAAACCTAAACTTCCATAACTTTTTTATACTTTTTTTTTTTTTTTTCAAATGCTTTCACTTCTTGCGTGTCTTCTTTAAAAAGAGACCAACGTTAGGTCTGTATTCCAAAGCATTCAGGAATTACAACCATGCTGTAACAAGCATTGATATACAAATGTTCTGTTTTCAGTGAATTTATACCAACAAAGGAGCGGCGATACAAACATTACAATCAAATATGTGACCCTGGAGCACAAAACCAGTCATAAGGGTCCATTTTTTGAAATTGAGATTTGTGCATCATCTGAAAGCGGAATAAATAAGCTTTCCATTGATGTATGGTTTGTTAGGATAGCACAATATGTGGCTGAGATACAACTATTTGAAAATCTGGAATCTGAGGGTGCAAAAAAATCTAAATATTGAGAAAATCATCTTTAAAGTTGTTCAAATGAAGTTCTTAGCAATGCATATTACTAATCAAACATTAAGTTTTGATATATTTACGGTAGGACATTTACAAAATATCTTCATGGAACATGATATTTACTTAATATCCTAATGATTTTTGGCATAAAAGAGAAATGTATAATTGTGACCCATACAATGTATTGTTGGCTATTGCTACAAATATACCCCAGCGACTTAACACTGCTTTTGTGCTGCAGGGACACATATAAGAGTCAAGTTTAGAAAAAAAACCATGAGTCCCAATAAGTTGGAAAATAGCAATAAATTAAATTAATCTGATGTCTCTTTATGGTTTGCCCTCTTTAGGGTAAAGCAGCTGAGGTCACCTGGTCCGGATGCAGGAGGCCTCCACGGCGTTGATGAGGAGACTCCGGAAGCCTCCGCTCTCCAGAAAGTGCAGTGCGTGGATGGTAGCGCCACCTGGTGAGCAGACGTTGTCCTTTAGCTGTCCCGGGTGCTGCTCCGAGTCCAGAAGCATCTTAGCTGCTCCCTAAGACAGAATAAAGAGCACGCTACAAACATGCACCGCACTGGTGATGGACACAGTGCACAAAGAGAGCGTACACTTCTGTAATAAATAGGGATGTGACCATATCAAAATTTCAAGATGCGATAATATCACGATATGAAGCTCACGATACGATATTTAACAACAAAAAAGAGAAAAGAATTGGGAAAGAGATTTTTTTTTTAACATTTTAAAGTTAAATTATTCTATCTAATGCACTTTGAGAGTTCAGAATGAAGAGCTGCAACACTTGTTCTTAACTAAGAAAACTTAAGTGTGAAGAAAGTCAGTGAATTGGCTTGTAGCTGAACTTTAAAGGAGACTCAACCCTCTTTTTATTTGTGATCTACTGTCTCAGTCTAAATTACACTCACACTGCTGTTTTAGGAAGATAAACTAATTATTATAATAACAGTAATAGCCATATATTGTGAAACAACTGCACTGTAAGATAAATGCAAATGAATGTCTCATAGCTATATTATTTGAGCTTTACACTACAGTAGAGAAATAACAATACTTCTTTCCTACTTTCTACACTTGAGAGAGATCTTGTGAATCTGGCCTGCGTTTAAACCGTTAGCTGTCAGCGATTCATGCTGCACTTTAAGCTTTTATTTAGAAGGAAACTCCAGCTTCAGTGAAAACAGGATTACAAAAACACGTCTCGCTACAAATCTAGAGAAACGCTGTCATCATCTGCCGTGAAAATAAAGCATAACTGGTGTCTGCTGCGTTCCCAAACGCGCGCTAAACTCACAGCAGGTGAAATAAAGGAGTGGACCGCATTCATTCAGTGTGAACGAGTCGCTCTGAGACGCAGAAAACACCGGATCACGAGCCGATCGTCTGAACCAAGTGTGTGCTTCACTTTGAAACAGACTTGATGAAGAGATGAAGCATATTGTGCTTTCGGTTCGAGTTCGTTTGAGATACTGTGCCGAAGCAGAATGACCCAAAACACTACTTTAAACACCTTTTATGTTACAATAAGAAGTTTAA